TATGCAGTGCTTCCTGAAGAAAACAACACACGGTACCATTTGTTGACAAGTTTACTTGACCAAATGAATGAGGAGAGGCTCACATGGGAATCACAGCAAGCCCTCCTCCAACAGCAAAACACTGCTGCAGTGACGCCTCAAAATGGAAATGAAATCGTAACAGGAAGAGCCTCAACTCAGTACAAAACAGTGGCAGAATAATGTGCAACTGAGGATGAAGGCGTAGTTTCCAGAAACAAATTGGGTTACGCAGAGAGAAAGGTGAGGAGAACGAAAGAACTCCCCTAGCAGGGAAAAGGCTATGATTCAATTTCCTTCAACTGCTGACTGACAGTAAGAAGAAGGGGGAAAAGCAGGGACAGACATGGCTTCCACTCTACGTCATCAACTTTGTAACTTTGTGAGCGTAACTTTAAAAAAATACTGGCTAGAAGAAGAACCAGGTATGAGGTTTTCTCGACCATCAGGTTTTAGTTTGATTTGCAGCATCTGTAGTTTTGGCAAGCCAACAACATAAGTAATCGTAATTGTGCCAACATTTTATGTTCGCTCCTGGCTTTTTGACACCAACAACCCACAGGCAGTATTTCCAAAGCTCATCTGACATAATTTGTGAAACAAATATGCAGACAGGAAAACAAAGACTGACAGGTTCAGCCTAGCACCACACTGGACCGTAGAAGTTTGCTGAGTGTAATGGAAATTAACAGGTGAAGACACGATCTTTTACCAAATTTCTAAGAGACTAGAGGGACAGCATAGACAAGAGCTACTGCAATATGGCGGTTAAGAAAAAACCTAATCTAGGTTAGTTAAAAATGTTAAGAATTCATGGCCCAGATCCACAATCCGCATTCATGTTTACCATCCTACTCAAATCACTAGGGTGCAACTTAGAACAAATACAGATGACAGATTCAGTTTGAGTAATGTTCTTCAGCCTCTTCTTCCCCTCTTCTAAAAACCAAGGCACCCATTAATGCCTGAACATAGTTAACGATGTACTGAAATAATTACAGAGCTACCATTAAAATAATGAACAATGTTTTTATAACCAAAAATAACCAAAGTTACTAGTAAAGGAATAGAAAAATACAAGCTGTTCTACTAACAACCAGTCTCATTCCAAGATTTTTCCCCCCACAGGGAAGAAGTGGTTCACTACTGATCTAGCTTCAAATCAGCTTCAGAGTCAACATCACCAGAATTTAATATTGTTGATCTTTCTAATGTCTGATAAGAAAATGGTTCGGGGATAACATGTTTGTTGAGTAACTATCTGCTAACCTGTCAGCTCAATGGCCAAAAATCACTCCCTTTGCCTAAGACCCAATGTTAGTTTTAGACTTTCCAAGGTGAAAGCAGAAAAGGAATGGGTGTTTAATTTCAGTCAGTCCTAAAAAGCAAAGAAGAAAGTACTTTCTTTGGTCATTTATCTGTTGATTAGCCTGCTCCATTTATGAAATCTTTGCTCTTGAGATTCCCCACACAATTAAAGGGCACTTTTCCTGTGACCACAGGGCACACAGGAATGCAACACACATCTTTCATTTATTCAGCAGTTATTCTAACTGTCTTCCTCTCCTCTTTTGACAACTCATGGTAAGGGAGTCGTATTTCACTAAAAAAAAGGAACAGCAGCTTCCCAGTAGGTTTTATTTGCAAATCAGATTTTTGCCAATTTCCTTAAGACAATGTATCAAGTATAGTTAATTTTACTTTGTTCCTGGCAAATATATCATGGAGACAAAAGTAAGAAAGTCATTACTTAAACATAAATTCTCTTAACTCGAACTTCTTTAAGAAATGCTAAAACAGGAAAACTCAATCGGAACAAGGTAGACACAGAGGGACCATAACTATGATTTCCAAGTCATCTTAATTTTTCCACATACATGAGAAATTTCATTTTTATGAAGGCCAGAGATTTTTTGTGTGGAAAAGCCTGACCCTCATGTTATCACGTAAAACATGTCAACATGACATTCTTTATTGTTTCAATTACATTTTTGGAGCATCAAAGCAATCGCTAAGTAATTCAAGAAGTGCTATGATCACATATGTCTCTCTTCATAAGGACAAGCTTATCACCTATTTTGATTTATTTCTTCAGACATGGAATGTGCACTCACAATGGTAGCAGTGTGGTCACAGCAGCAAAAAAGGGCTATTTAAAGCAGGATGGCTGGCGACATTCCTGTCATATCGGCCAGAGTTTTAACAACTTTTTAGAAGCATTTCCAAACGATTAATACATCATTATTATTTATCTGATTTATGAAAATTACAAAAAAATACATCAGTAAATCATATTTCTGTATTTGAGGAACTGATTATAGAAATAAATTACTATTGCCATCTAAATCATTATGGTGAGCTTCCTCACGACAGACAGCGCCTGGATAAGCAAGTTCTCAGCTGTAAATACCAAGGCGCGTTCCAAGGCGGCAGAGAGGGAGGGGAAGTCTCCAACACAAGCACAACTTGCTCGCAGGTTTCCTGAAGACCAGCCAGCGACTAGCACTAACAAAAGCCTTGCAGGACGCCCCCAAAAGCTCTTCATTGCCCAGCACGTACTACGACCGCGCAAAACGATGTTCACACACACCGCACGCTTCGCCTGAAAACACCGAAAATCAACAAAGGAGGGGAAAGAAAAGAAAAAAAGAAGAAGAAGAAGAAGAAG